GGGGCGCGCGTTGCAGGCTGTGGGGGGGGACACACGGCCTCGATAATAAATGATAGAGGATACCATGACTTTGCTGTCTCTGCTGGGTCGGATCATGCGTTACTTCTTGCTTAGACCGGAGACGCTGTTCTTGCTGTGCATCAGCTTGGCCCTGTGGAGTTATTTCTTCCACACGGATGAGGTGAAAACCATCGTCAAGTCCAGCAGGGACGCGGTGAAGATGGTGAAGGGCAAGGTGGCCGAGATCATGCAGAACGACAGGCTGGGGGGGCTGGACGTGCTGGACGCGGAGTTCTCCAAGACCTGGGAGTTCAAGAGCCACAACGTGGCCGTCTACTCCATCCAAGGCCGGCGGGACCACATGGAGGACCGGTTCGAAGTCATCACCGACCTGGTGAACAAGACGCACCCCTCCATCTTTGGGATATTTGACGGGCACGGAGGAGAGGCAAGTGCTCGGCTGGATAAAACGGGGCTGGCGGTGGGGAGGGCTGCTTCAAGGCAAGGAGCTGTCGTGTCCTCCCCCGAGGTGTGAGAGGTCACTGTTTGGGGGGCTGCTCCTTTCCTAAAGGATGAGGAGGAAGAATCCCTGAATAGGGAGAGAGAGAGAGAGAGAGAGAGAGAGATGTCTCTATTCCCTTTCTCTTTCACTACCATTTCCACTACCGTAAATGTGTTTATACCCCCTCTGCCCTTTATAGCAGTAAAGGCTTAATTGAAGTAAAAGCCCTTGGAGGTGGATCTTATGTGCACAGAATAATGATGCTGAGCACAAACTGCCTGGAGTCATCTTTTGTTGCAGAGAAGTGTGGTGTAATCTGGCTTTGGCAGAGGGCTGGTCTCCCCCTCCTGTCAGGAGCTGTGCTCTTCAGCACTGGTCAGAGATTTCTCTTTGAGGCCGCATGTGTGTAGCGTTAAGCTGCGCATAAAATGCGTCTTCTCAGTAACTCACTCTGCTACGAAGACCAACAAGTCGTTGCAGATGAGTTGCACGTATATGAATTAATGTAGTTTTTAAGGAATTACAGTTATGCTCTCATACGTATGCCCTCCCTAGCAGAAAGCCAGAAAAAGTTACCATTCTGAAACTTTGTGGTGTTTAACCTCTAACTTTCTGAAGAGGGTGATTTCCTTTAGGTTGCGCTCTGTAATTTGTATTACAGCTTGATGGGATACATCATTCATTTCAGGTGGCATATGCCGAAACTATAGCTTCCTCTTCATCTAGGATTGTGGTGCTGCCATTTAGCTTCTTGTATAACACAAAGAACATACTTCATAGCTATGGAAAAGAAATGCAGAAGGTGGGGGGGTGTCCTTGTGACATACTAGCTCTTGCATGCATTAAGCTAGGTATAAGATTACATTGAGAGTTTTACTGGGATCATGGAAGCTGGAGAGAAACGTTGAAGTTTTTCATGTGTTTCTGCTGAAGAAGGGCGAGACAGCGGAGGGGACTTTGGTGTTCCTCCAGCTGCTTTCACAGATCAAGGAGTCAAAGCGTCCTTCTAGAAAAGCGTTGACAGTGACCAGACACTAATGAAGTACAAAACACCAATTGCTACCTCTCCAAACCTGTAAGCGATGTTTGAAGACTTCAGGCCTTAGGCACGTATCAAAAAGCTTCCCTTCTGCTACCTGTATGGTTGTAAGGCGAGTCATCTGTGATATGCTGTCTTGCAGTATCTAGTGTTTCGCCCCCTTTAAAATAATGAAAACACTTCAGATATTGAGAACTGTCAGCTTCTTAAAAATTTCTCGTGACTGAATCCTATTTTCCTTTTTCTGTCTATCTTCAGTTGGGGTGTAGTTGTGCCAACTCTTATTGGCATAGTTGTGTCAGTTCACTATTCCTTGGCATTCGAGGAATAGTGGCAGAAATACACATATATAGCAAACTGATACATGTCTTCTCTCTGAGAAGTATTACCTCTGAACTGTGTGTTTGGTATATCTGCTTCTTTTGTTTTCTGATGATGTGGGATAGGAATGAAAGGTGTTTTGTTTTGTGCCTTTTCCCCCTTTATTTAAACTGACAGTTTTCCGAGTCTGAACTGATCAACCAAAACAAGTTTGCAAGAATGTGTGTCATGTTTTTTAAACAGTAGTCTGAGATGGTTACAGATAGAAGTATTATATAAACAGTCTTAGTCTTTGGCATTGTGAAAAAGGGATCTTATTTCTTTATTTAATTTTGTATCATGTATGTATCTCACCCCACGTTTGATTCCACGGTCAATATATTAAATAATGCAAAGCTAACAGAAGACAACTAAATGGCGGGAAAGAGAGATATGTATTTTTTTTGTTATGGATATAGTCTGGATATTTTTGAGCTTGGATTTACCTCCATATGATATGTTAGAATGGTAATACTAGCTCTGTGGAAAGCTCATCTACCTTTTGTGTTCTGATTCCTCAGAGAACTTGTTCTAATTGAATCAGTGGCGAAGTGTGAGGCTTTTGTATGAAAGGCTGTCATTTTGAAAGGCTTAGAAGGTTCTTCTCCAAACCTTACTGAAGTGAAGATTTAAAAAATATATAATCTAGTATCTTTTATTTGTCTTTCAAATGAAATCCTCAAATGTTCTTAGTGGCCTTTACTTCTCCTGAAAAATAGATATCTAACCACTAGGGACATAACTAGTTTCGCATTTTAGATTTCATGTAAAAATAGTTAGAAGAGCACAAACTGCGGACAGTGCAGACAGCAAAAAAAAAAAAAGAAAAAAAGATAAAATAGTATGTTTTAATCTAAGCAGATTTTGTAGTTGTCTGTAGAAAAGAGGGGAGGGGAAGGAAACTGCAGAAGGCAATGCTCTTATTTAATCCAAAATACATAACACTAAATTTTGAGTCTCTGTTTAAACTGTTTTTTCTGGATGTCTCTTTAAGTAAATGACTCCGTCAAACACTTTGCTTGCATATATAGCAAAGTCTTTGTAAAGATTTAGTTTTCCGAATGGGTTCCTGTTAAATTTCTTTCTGTGTGTTTAAAGAACAAAGAACTGCAAATCTCTGGAGTTACATGTGGAACAAACTGTTCTATATGGGGAAAATGTGTTTTTCCAAAGAGGTAGTACCACAGATGAGATACTAGATTAATTCTTTCCGGCTGTATATGAGGGAATGTGTCTCCATGAATTATTTCCTGCCACACTGGGTTGAAGTGGAAGGACAGAGAATTACTGTTATGCAGTAATGTGAATTACTGCGTAGTGCTAATTTATGAATATTTCTGAGGGTTTTTTTTTGCTTGTTTAAATATTGCCGGCATTTTGCAGGAATCCTACTTTTCTGTTATGTGATGTTTCTCTTCCATATTAAAATTTTTAATCTGAATAGGTTGGCAGACATGTACCTAAATTTTGTGGTTGACTTGATGAGAAAGATGAGCAAAAAAAAGTGTTAATGCTCTATATTACAGCTAAGAATCTGGTGTGCTGCTGCAGTTAATGGTTTAAGGGAATGATATTTTAGAGATGAAACTTGATACATGGTGCAGGCTTCCTTTTAGCAAAAGGCTGGTTTGTAATAATAATAATGTGAACAGTGCAGATAGAGGGCAAAGAAATAGATGTGAAAAGAAGGAAAGAAATGAAGTTTCTACCTGTTATTTCACTGAATTACTTTGGACGAGAATCTTAAAGGTGATCTACGCGTTAAAATCAAAAAACAAGCCAAGAAAGCCCTTGTCTGTTCTCTCACCAACTTCTTTATAAGGCTTAAAGGTGGCTTGCATGCCTTTCCCCCACCCCCATTCAGAAATCTTGGGGCTGTCTAGACTGGAAGGTTGAGAAGCAGAAAACTAGTTAAATGATAAAATAACCAACTATGAGCTTGAAAGCTGAGCAGTCAAGTATCTTAATCAGTATGATTTAACTGTTTTAACTAGCATTTATAATAAAGAGTTCTTTGATCAAATATTTAATGATTAAGAATTCAATTTAACTGAGATCTTAGTATTTGACGTAGCCAAGGTAGCTCACCTAACGTCGGCAATTTTATGGTTATGTCTACGTTGCATATCATTGGTTTTCCTTGACTATAGGAGGTGAAGACTTTCAAAACAATTATAGTAATAGATAAGACCTTATATGCTGCCTTCGCCTGTTTGCAGTTGTAAACTGATACAGATTATGATGGTGAGAAACTAAAGCTCAGTTACTGTTTCATAAGAAGTATCTTGCCCTTTTTATTTCTCTTAGCCCCCTTAAATGGGAACAAGGCAAGGCTTGCTCTTTATGAACCTGTATATATGCATAAGAGCATTTTGCACAGTACAGTTTTTTTTTTTTTTTTTAAGAGTTGCCAATAGAGTTCTGGAGTAAATGAAATATAACTTTTTAATTTTTATTTGTAGCACAGGGAAAGATTGGGAAGCTTAAATGTGGAAGGGAGTTATTCACTATGTAAATGGCTGATGTTTTTAACCATACACAGCATTATGTAATACTTTGTGTGCCACAGGACCTTGAAATCAGTAGCCTGAACTATTGGCAGATGTCTCTGGTTACTGCTTAACTTTCAAGGGCCCCCCCACGCCCCCCCCCC